GAGGACCCTCACCAGTATGCAAACCATGAGAACCGATCAACAGAGGTCATCGTCTCTGTGGTCCACACTGCTCTCACCCACCTGGAGCAGAAAGACTCTTACGTCCGTATGCTCTTTGTGGACTTCACATCCGCCTTCAACACCATGATCCCCCAAACCCTGATGGACAAACTATCCACACTAGGACTAAGCCCCTCCATTTGCAACTGGGTACTAGACTTCTTAACAAACAGACCACAGTCAGTGAGGATCCACGACTTCTCCTCCACCATAACTCTCAGCACTGGCTCTCCTCAGGGATGTGTGTTGAGCCCCCTCCTGTTTACTCTGCTCCCGTATGATTGTGCAGCTACCCATCCAGGCTGTCACATTGTAAAGTTTGCAGATGATACAGCGGTGGTGGGATGCATCACAAACAATGATGAGTCCAGCTACAGGTAAGAGGTGGAACACCTGGAGAGCTGGTGCAGGAAGAACAACCTTCACATCAACGTGAAGAAGACAAAGGAGATGATTGTGGACTTCAGAAGGAACAAACGCACACCCCCTTGAACATAAGAGGATCTGCGGTGGAAGTGGTCTCCAGCTACAAGTACTTGGGTGTGCACATGAACAACAACCTCAGCTGGAGTGACAACTCCATCAGCCTGATGAAGAACGATTATCAGAGACTACTTCCTCAGGCGGCTGAGACGAGCTGGTCTGGGAAGCTCAGTCCTCACCTCCTTCTACAGGTGTGCAGTGGAGAGCATCCTGTGCTCGAGCATCAACGTGTGGCATGGAGGCTGCACAGCTGCAGAAAGAAAAGCTTTGCAGAGAGTGGTGAAGGCTGCACAGAAATCTGTTGGAGTCAGTCTCCCCACCATCACAGACATCTACACCTCCAGATGCAGGAAGAGGGCCACCTGCATCATGAAGGACCCCACTCATCCAGCACACACAATTTTTGCCCCACTCCCCTCAGGAAGGAGGTTGAGGAGCATTAAGTGTTGAACCACTAGACTGAGGAACAGCTTCTACCCTGAAGCTGTTAGTCATGAATCAGTAATCAGGATTATCACTGTGAAAATCAC